ACGGCCCCAGCAAAAATCCGAATAGCCAACAAACTGAATGTGAAACAGACATCTTCTGAGCACTAGAGGGGGAAGGACAAGCGTAAGCTTTGTGCATGTGACTCCCCTCCTTTGAGAACAGGGCCCGCCAGGGACATGTGGCACCCTCCGCAACTGTGGCGGGACCAACCACCAGGGTTCAGGGGACAGGTGATCACACAGTCCAGTATTTAATCCAGCCCAGCAAGCAATTAAATATCGTACTCAATTGAAGAAAGGTGTCACCAGGGAGGTAGGTTCCAGGGCTATGTCCTGGTCTCAACTGTTCAAACGAAATTATAGCTGGGAAACTGTACACTTAAAAATGGTTAAGATGGTAAATCTTACATTTTGTGTATTTTATTGCAATTAAAAAGTTGGGGTGGGAAACCCCACAGGTGGGGAGGAGAGCGAGTGTGCTCTGTGACATACCCGGATCCCAGGGGCGTGCCTGTACCTGCAGGATGAACTAAAACTGGCCCTGCTTCTCACAAGACGCAGAGCCAGAGTCTACGCCTTGGGACACCAGGTACAAACTAACCCTTGTGAGCCTTCGACTGCCCCCGCCACCACCACGGGACCAAAGGACCAGGATAGGACCAGAACCTGATCACGTGGGAACTTTCAGGAGCAAAGGGTCTGCTGTCCAGGAAGAACTGGAGCTGAGACCCCTTATAATGCCCCCTCTACCCCAACCCTGGATTAAGGCAAATCTGAGCCTTGCTTATCTCCTTGCTGGCCAAACTCGCAAATAAAAACTCTTTCTTTTCCCAAGAGCTGGTGCCATAGAATTTGCCCCAATGTGCGTTGGAGAGTGAGCCCTTGCTTGGTGACAGTTTTGGCACCACAGTGTGGGCTTCTGTGTATGCGCATTGGGCTGCGAGCTCTTGCTCAGTCACGGGTCCAGGAGAGGGGGAAAGGTGGGATTTCAGGGGGAGAATCTGCATTTCTGTTGAGAAGTGAACAGAGGGTGGGGACTCCTGCTTGCCCACAGTCACAGCAAAAAGCTCCCAGAGATCATAAGTGTGCCTGAACTCACACGCAGGAGTGTGACGTGTTTGTCACCCAAAATGAAAATTGTCTGGGGACACATCAGTAGAGGCTGGGCACGGAGAAGGGGAGGTGACCTCCCAGCCTGGCCCTCACTGCTAGAGACCCCCTGGGCATTGTGCCCAGCTCTGGGTGTCACACTGTCACACCAACAGCCTGGAGAGTGCCGAGGGGCAGAGCCAGGTTGGGAGGGGCCTGGATACCCCACAGGGAATGACAGTGGAAGGCTCTGAAAGCCTCCCTCTCAGAGGTCCAGAGTCCTGTCACCCACAGGCTGGGAGGCTTTGGGTAAGCGACTCAACTCACTGAGCCTCAGCCTTCTCATCTTAAATGGGAATTGCAGCAATTCCCACCAGGCAGGGTGCTCGTGAAGACTAAATGAACGATTCACATAAAGCTTTGTCCCAGTGCCTGGGACACAACAGCACGTACTGAGCCATCAGTCACCCTGGGAAGGAGAAGGGAGGACGCGGCTGGTGACCCAAGGCTGCAAGGCTCCTGGGCATCCTTACCTCTGGGCACCTGCCCTGAACTTGTTGTGGTGTCACAAGGAAGTTGGTCACCAAGAAGAACACGTTTTCTCCCTGGAAGACAAGGGTCGGGGTTTGCGCCTGCAAGGCTCCCTGCATGGGAGAGGACAGCACTGGCAGCTTGGCGTGGGAGGAAGGAGCCCTGGCCTCATCGAGTCAGCACCCCGGGCCCAGGATGGCACCTCCATGGGACAAATTCAAGGAGAGATGATGGGAGGCTGACTTGAGTTTCTGGCCATTTCTGAGCCCGTGTCTGCCTCTCTGAGACAGGTTTATTTCTCATCTCCACTTTCACTCACTCAGGATTTTCTAAGAGCCTCTTGTTTCTAGGCACTAAAGATCCAGCACTGAGTGAGGCCGAGCACCCGCCCAGGCTGGTGGGAAGGCGGACCCCTCCTTGCAGGCACAGCCAAGAGCCAGGGGAGCAGGTGGTCAGTTCTGCTTGGGCAAAAGGTGGCCAGGAACGGGAAAGGTGGCTGGCACCCATGTGCTGAGCGCAAGAGCTTTGTGAATTTGGGGGAATGTATATCCAGGAAGGGGAGACAAGGGCTGGGCAGAGGGAGAGGGGTATGGCAGTGGCCAGGACTTGGTGGCCACCATCATGGACAGGGAGCCTTCCGAGGGTGAAAGCAAGGGCTGGCAGTCTCAGATGATGTCACATGTGAAGGCTCTGCCTGGCTGCAGCACCTGGGTGATGTCGCATGTGAAGGCTCAGCATGGGTGCACCTGGGGACTCACTAGAAGACCACAGCCTCCACCAGGCAGGGCATGTGCTGCAGTGGAAACTGTTAGGAGATGGATAGGACAGGGGAGGGACAGGAAGGTGTCCACCTGAGTTCAGCTCTGGCACTGATGGATGAACCCAGAACACACTGGGAAAGGGAGAAGATTTCTCTTTGGACATGGTGGGTGTGCTCGGGGCCATTGCTCACCAGGGTCACAATTTGGGCACCAGCAGGACAGAGGAGAAACAGGCTGTGGACAATCTGGGTAGGAGGAGGAGTGGCCAGAAGTACAGTGTGGAAGGGTAGAGGAGAAGGGCCTGACAGCAGCGCCCTGGGTCAGGGAGGTGAGTGTGCAGGAAGTTCTAGGCCCTAGCCCCCCCAAAACCCCCTCCCATCTCACCCTCAAGCTCAAGCTCAATGTCAAGTTTCTAGACATGCCATCATTTTTCAGATGCAACCTTTGTAAATGTAGCTCTCCTGGCCTGCCTTTCTGATCCCTCCTCTCACTCACCTGGACACTTCTCACACACACCCTATATCCCTGTCTAGGTGCCATTCCTCTGTGAGGCCCTTCCCAAGCCCAGCCCTGTGACAGTGTCAGCACCCACCTCTGGCACCACATGCCTCTCTTGCACACACTTGCTGCGACTGTGGTATCAGAGGCGTCAGCGCCTGGCAGCAGCCCTGAGATACCCACCTGTGCTGGCTTCACGAAGTCAGCCACGTCCCACAGCCGATTCCCCAGCTCCTTGATCTGGGTCACAGAAACCCCTTTGAGTTTGGTGATAACGGAAATCTGGGGGTCCATGTCCTGTACCTGGTAGCCTTTGTTGGCGAGGAGGACCCACCTGGGGAGGAGGCGATGGGCAGTATGGTGTGTCCCTGGCACACTGTGAGCAGTGGCAGAGCTAGGCCCTACTTGCTCGGTCTCTCTCCCTCATTCACTGTAGATTACCAGTACACCACTCAGGTGCCCGGCCTCCTCTCTACCCTCATGTCCCCCAACCCCCCACCCCCAAACACCCTGAATAGGCTACAAGCACAGGCCATCATCGGGGAGCCAGTGCCCACATGGGTGTCTCCTATGAGGCAGCCATGGGCTTGGATATGCCCACTACCACCTCCTTCATCAGTCAACCCCCTCCCTCTGCCCCAGCCAGACCCAGCTTCCTCCTTAATGACTCCTCTGACCCAGCCAGAACTCATGCTCTCTGTCCGGGGCCTTAGGTTCCAGCTCTCACAGGTGCCAGAGATTACACCCTGCACTGCCAGGGGCGGGGGTGGAGCCCTTCCTGCTCTGTGCACATAGCTCACCGAGGGGCTGAGGGCAAGGCCAAGGAGAAGAGGCAGTGGGCACACAGGAAGACACAGACACACAGCTTGCTCTTGTGCCCACAGGCCCCTACACAGACAGAGATCCTTCCTTCCTCCTACCCACTACCCTGTCGCAACCTGCCCTGCCTCCACTACCACCAGCCTGGCCCCTGAAGAGTCAAACCCTCAACCCTCAGCCCAGCAGGAATGCTTACGGTCCCTCCAGCCAGTGTGGCCAAAAGCCGTTCTCTTACCCTACCACGTAGACCACGACCCCAAGCTGCAGCAGCCTCTGCAGGACGCCCACCCGCCAGTTCCTGGTCATCACATACTTCGCAGTCTTGTAATCCAGAAGCCCCCAGGAGGTCAAGGCCCCTAGGGAGCCCATGCTCCCAGCTCCTGCTGGCTGCTGGGGCACATGAGTCAGCACAGCAGCTGCAGTCACAGCTGAACAGGAGATAAAGCAGGAGCCCAAGGAGGACCAGGCCAGCAGCTATTAAAGGGACAGAATCCACTTGGGCCAGAATCCAGCCTCCACCCCACATCCCCTACCCCCAGCCCTGGGTTCAGTCCCATCGCCCAGCTGCTCTGGACCTTTCACCCTTTCCAGTCTTTCTCTGGGGGACCCTGGGCCCACAGAGAGGAGCAGCCCCTGTCTGCTGCCCTCTGGCCTCACTTCTTTGGGTGACGAGGGGATGATAGGTGTTATAGGTGCTGTGAGAGGATGGTCTGGGGCTGCAGGAGTCCACAGGAAGGGCCAAGGAAATCTTCAGAAAGAACTCACACTTGAAGATTCTGAAGTTCAACAAAGCTGGGGAGGAATGGATGTTCCTGGTGGAGGAAGCTGCATATAGACGCTAGAGTGTGAGTGAGAACTGAAACCCACAGAGAGAGTGACTCTGGCCCCAGAGAGGAGGGTGGCCAGGCTCCACGAGGTGCCCTAAGCCCTCCCGCGTGATGCCCCCACATAGCTGGCTGCCAATACCGCCCAAGCGCAGGGAGTAAAAGCCTAGAGTCGGGCATCTTCCCCAGTTCGTGGGAAGGTGGGCGATGCTTGAACTGCATGAGATGCAGGGAGAACAAGCGCCTGCAAAGCGCCCGGCATTGGGCCTGCCGGGGGCTCGAGTTCTTATCGGCCGTAACTAGGGTCCGACTCAAGGTCGGGCAGACAAGCGGTTTCTGCGGCAACCACCAACACCAAGTTGTCGGGGCAACTGCGTCATCTCTATTTGCAGCAGCGAGCGCCTGTTCACTGCACACCACATGCGATTGGTGGCTGAAGCCGGAGGGCCCGCCCAAATTTCCTGGCAGGGCTCCTGGGGCGGTGGAGCGCAGTCCTCGCCTTTGTGCCCGCAATTGCAGAATGAGCGTCACCATAACCAGTCCCTGCGGGAAGTCAGGGGATAATGAAGAGCAGGAGAAAGAGGCGGTGGCGGCTGGCGCTGGGAGTCTTACAGGGGTCCTGGAGGCCGAGGAGGGTTTGGACACAGATTCGGACTCCTACCTGGAGACGGAAGGTGCCCCTGGGCAGTGGTAGAGGGACCAGGCTGGGGCTGAGTGGACAGAGGCCTCTGCCCCCTCCGTGGGGCAGTGGCAGCATCTCCAGCCCCCTGCCGTCTCTGCAATGCTCCTGGGAGCATCAGAAGTCCCACCGTTAGGACATACTTCTAGAGTGATGTTAAAATGCTGGGTAGTGAGAGAAGACGGGGCAGCCCTTGGAAGGTGGCTGGCTGTGCCTGGATAGAGATCCACATTTTCCTCCCCGTCTTCTATCAGGCACCCGCGGTCTTGGAGGACTGGTCACAGACACGCTCTACCTGAGGTCATGCCAGGCCCACAGCGCCGTGCCCGCCTCCTGCTTTCTGCGCCAAGGGAGAGCTCCAGAGCTGAACCTGCGGTACCGTGGTCTGGGGCCACAGGTACCCCTGGGGCTGGGCTTGGAGGGAGAGGACCTGGGAGGAGGCAGCCATGGGTGTGGTCTTCTTCCTGAGTCCTTCTCACACACGCCCTGGCCTTGCTCTGTGCCAGGCCTATCCCACTCCCACATCTGGGTGACAGGTGGGATCAGGGCTATGACAGAGCTCAGTACAGGGCTGGGGAGCCTACAGGGGACACCTAACATACTATAGGGCCAGGAAAGGCTCCAGGAGGTGAGAGCTGGGAGGAGCCTAGAATGAGAAGCAGGTGACCCCTGGTCATGTGGGAAAAGGAAGGACTTCCACCTGGAAGGCATCAAGTGGGCTGAGCTCTGAAAACATGAGCCAGAGTAGTAGCTATCTGTGCTGGGGGCCTTCAGCCCTAGGCAGGACCAGGCCTTTCGGGACCCTCTCTGTTCCAGGGGGCCCGGGCTCTGGCTTCTGCACTAACCTCCAATCCCTATATCAAGCGTCTGGACCTCCGGGACAATGGGCTCTGTGGGGCCGGTGTGGCGGCCCTGGCACGTGCCCTGAGAAAAAGCAGCAGCATCTGTGGTAGGTGCTAAGCCTCGGGCAGGTGGGCAGACTTGGGTCCCCCCTTGCCTAAGGGGTGTGCCCCTCTTACACACAGCCAGACCTTCTCTCACCTGGGGCTGGCTGGGATTGCTGGGGTGGGGCCTCATCCCAAGGGTGGAGTTAGGCCCCCTGTGTTGCACCCAACGCTGGATGCCACTCCTATCCTGACCAGCCCACCCCACCCACTCGCCTCCTCCCCTGGCCAGCCCACTCTTCACATGGTGGCCTCCCAATGACTGAATGCAAGTTGGAGGGTCCTTTGACACACAGGTGGAGGCTGAGCAGAGCAAGAAGAGGGAGGGCTGGGTGGGTGTTCAGTGGGGCTGGATTCAAATGCCACCTCTGCCACCAAAAAGTGGGGTAAGCCTGGGCAAGGAGCCAGACTTTGCTGGGCCTCAGTTGCCAATCTGGGAAATGGCCCAACAATACCACTTAGTCCTTAAGGATGTGGTGAGTGAGCATCGGCAAAACTGTGTGTGGCCCACATAAGTGCCCTGAGCATGGCCACCTAGACAGTTATTGCCAGTCCCAGAAATGTGGCAGTGAGGGCTTCTGTGGGTGGGCTGTATTGCTGCCAGTCACCAACGATCTACAGGGTAGCTACATCTCTACCACGAGCCTTCTCCATAGCAACAGGAAGTAGGTGGTTTTAGCCCCTTGGCAAAAGAGTTACTGGACATATGGGGTGGGGATGAGCAACAGGGGAGCTGCCTGGGACCTGAGGATACCCAGCTGATGGGTGTCAGAGTTACCATGTACCCCAGGACAGTGCAGCTACAAAGCCCCTTCTGCTGCCTCTGGCCTGGAGGCTTGGGGGGTGAAGAAGGGTGGAGGAGGATGGTACCTGGTTTTGAATCCCACTGACTGAGGACTGGTGCTGACCCCCAGATGTGGACCTGTCGGAGAACCAGCTGGGAGCGGTGGGAGCCCAGGTCATCTGTGCTGCCCTCATGGCAAACCCAGCCATACAGAAGGTCCAGCTGGCAGGGAACAGCCTGGAGGAGCAGGCAGCCCAGTACCTTGCTGAACTCCTGCTGGCCCACACGGGCCTGAAGTCCCTTGACCTGAGCTATAACCAGCTAGATGACCAAGCAGGTAGTATCTGGCCAGGGCCACTGTGGGGCACTGGAGCTCATCTTCCTGGGGAGAGGTGGGTGGGGGTTGGCAGGACCAATCTGGGCATCCGTGCTCTGGCTGCTGCTCCCCAGGTCCCACTTCAACCTGCCCGTTTCCCACTCCTTCCACAGAGCACATCTTAATCCACTCCATGAATTCCTCCATGCCTGCTGCTACAAGTGTTGGGAGCTGATTTAGCCACTGAGGATCTCGCCATGAACAAAACAAAGTCCCTGGCCTTAAGGAACACATATTAACAACATAATTTTCCATAATTCTTGATGCTTCAAAAAAACAAAGCCATGATTCTAGAGAAGAATTGGGACCACCCACTAGAGGGGTGGCCAGGGTGGCCTCTGTACAGAGATGACATTTAAACTGAGATGGACAGGGTGGGCAGGAATCAGTCATGGCAAGATCAGACGGAGAGCATTTCAAGCAGAAGGACAGAGAACGTGCAGGCCTGTCTCCCAGACTGACAGACAACAGAGTGACTGGCTAGTGAGTCAGGGGAGAGTGGTGAGGCCTCGGGGTGGAGAAGCAACAGGGGGCTGCAGAGCTACAAATCACAGGAAAAGGCACGCAGATTTTACTCTAAGTGCTGTGGAAGACGTCAGTGGGATTCCTTGATCTTACTACTTGCCCTCATGCCCCAGGGCCTTTGCATGGGCTATCTGCTTTGCCTGCCCTCAACCCCCCAATCAATTATAAAAATCACCTGAGACCCTGGGTTAGGAATACAGATTCCTGGGCACCCGCTGAACCAGATTCTTGGGCAGGGGGTGTGCATGCATCTGGATTTTACCAGATGCCCAAGGAGATTTGTCTGATCCAGAAAGTTTGGAAATTGCTGCTCTGTCTCAAGCTGCCTGGAGTGAATGTTGTGGCACCAGCCCTGGCCTGTGAGAATTGGCCCTAGAAATTAACTGCCAGAGAGCCAGTTTGCCTTCTAAGATAATTATTGTGAGAAACCAGTGAAATTAAAAGAGAAACTCATTTTGGACTTTCAACAAAGCATAGGCGTTCCTCTGGGCCTGCACTGTCAGAGGGCAAGCGCCAGAGAGGCAGCCAGGATGGAGGGGGCTGGAAGCTAAGGCCCTGCGAAGGCTGCACAAATTATAGAGTTGGGGGTCCTCAGCCTGGAAAAGGGCATATATAGTGGGTCATTTTGTTTCCCCAAGTAAGGATCCATAGGTGGGCCTGACTCCCTTAAGGGGTGAAGGAGCTTGGGTCTCAGTCTCCCCACCCGACCCACGGTAATGGTAGCACTGACTTCATAGGTTGGCTGCAGGGGCCACAAAGACGAAGCATTAAAACCACAACAGGTTAATTCATGCATGCATGCAGAAGAAACTTCTTACCCCCAGCTGTTTAGCAAAGTAGGGCCTCACTACAAAGTGAGGGGCCACCACCATCCCCTCCCGGCCCTGGAAGTGTCTGGGAAGAGGAAAGTACCGTATCTGAGAGAGAACCTGTGGGAGTCAGACCCAGTGCTGGGCAGAGTCTGGAATCCTGTTCTCAGGGCGGCAGTGCAGGGCTGCCTTGTGGCTTTGCGGGAGCTCTCCAAGGTGCTAAAAATGTCTGTGGGCCAGTGTTCTGGCTGAGTGCTCTGCTCAGTTCATCTGCTTTTCCTCTGTGCATTTCTTCAGGCCAGCCTTACTAGACCTATGCTAGGTGCTGGGACCAGGGGACCAGGCTGAGGGGGGCAACACACCAGGCAGAGAGAGGTCTAATGGCCAGAGCCTGGAAGGATGATAGCAGTGGACACAAGCCCCAAGGTAGCCCAGCTGAGCTGGGCAGGAAAGGCTTCCTGATGCCAAGAGCCCAGATTAGAAGGATGAAGAGCTGCTAGCCAGGTGAAGAGGGGCCTCAACGGTTCCATGCAGGGGGACAGCCAGGAGTGCGTTGGTGCTGGCACCTTTGTGACCTGGAAGAGGTCAGACTGGTGGAGTGATGACAGTGAAGAGCAGGGTGTGTGGGTGGCTAGGGCTTCTGCTCATTCTACATACTGAATATCTCTAGGGTCTCTCACCCCACATGCCTCCCCCCACCATTTCCTTATTCTACCACAACTGCCTCCTCTTCACAACAGTTGTGTGCGTCTTGTCACCTCCTGCCTAGGCTATGGCACAAGCCTTTCAACTAGTTCCTTAGCCTCATATCTCTGCCCCCACCCACCCAAGTCCATCCCCTACACCCACTAAGGAATCCAGCGCTCCACTCCTTTTTTAAAAAAAAGATTTTACTTATTTATTTTTAGAGAGGGGAAGGTAGGGACAAAGAGAGGGATAGAAACACCGATGTGAGGGAGAGACATCGATTGGTTGCCTCTCCTACATGCCCCAACCAGGGACTGAACCTGCAACCTGATCATGTGCCCTGACCTAGAATGGAACTGGAGACCCCTCGCTTTGCAGAACAACGCCCAACCAACTGAGCCAGACTTTTCACTTATTAAAGACCTCCCTGCTTCCTCACCAATAATAGGGCAGTGCCCAAGACCCTTGGCCTGGTATTCAAGCCCTCTCACCATCTCTCAACGGCCCACCACTCCTCATTTCACAGGCTTCCCCTGTCCCTGTCCCCAGAGCCAGGCTGGCATGTGTTTCCCCAGTGCCCCATGCTCCCTGTGCCTCTGCACACTCCCTTGCCTGCCCTTTGTGTGCAGACATGCGTGGTGAGTCCCTTAGTCTTCAAGCTCATCTCCTCTGCCCCCACTTTCCTGACCACTCCCCAAACAGGATTATCTCCACTCTGTTCCCCACTTTCCTGACCACTCCCCAAACAGGATTATCTCTACTCTGTCTCCAGTCTGTAGTTATAATAGCTCACATCCCATTCATTTGTGCTTATATCTCCCCCACTACATATGAAATCCTTGGAAGCAGGGAAAGCCTGAGTTGGGCTCAACTCTGTGACCCTCATGCCCAGCAGAGACCCTGTCACACCGCAAACATCAGTATTGTTCTTTGAAAGAATGAACAGAGTAAATAAGAATGTCTGTCTTGGTGTTTCGGAAGGGGAGACGCTTGGACCAGCCTTGGCAGAAAACACAGGACTCACCGAGCTTAACATAAGCTGGAATCACCTTCGAGGCCCAGGAGCTGTCTCTTTTGCCAGAGGACTGGGGGTATGAGGTTTGCACCCCCACCCCACCCCACTGCCAGTCCCTCCAGCCCACCCCTTGAAGCCAAGTCTCCCAAGGGCTAGCTCCCCATCACTGCAGCTCTTCAGAAATGAACCTTGGATCTTTTAAGCAGAGCTTAAAAAATATTTTGTTAGGTGTCTTTAATTTTCCAGCCCCATTTAATGACTTCGATACACTGTGCCAATCTCAAGTCACTTACTGAGGGCTCTCCAGCTGAATGTGGCACACCTTCCCCAGACATCACAGACACTCTGCTGGGAGGGGACAGTGCGCAGACTGGTGACACATGCTCACTATGGGGCATGCACAATGCTTCCTTGAGAGCCACGCTTGTGCCCTTGGATCCCAGCACACAGTGTAATGAGCCACCTGCTCCCATAGCTGTGGTTTGCGGGCCTCGGGAATGGGTGGTTCCAGCCCCTGAAAAGGTGGCACAGAACACCTGTAATGTCCCCTGTGCCAGGTACCTTTTTTGGGTTCTCCTCAGGGAATGGCAGTCACTGCCTTGCCCTCCAACAGAGGCTGAGCTGGGGCCCTGGCCCACAAGGTGACAGGCCTGTCTTCCCAGCACACCTACAAGCTCCCGCCCTTCTCCCCGTCACAGCCCCCTGGGCAGGTTTCACCCAGCTCCAGGCCCCTGAGCTGCTCTGCGCCTTGGGGTACTTGCCCTTGAGAGGCCCCCGAGCAGCCGTGGGGTCTGCTGCCACAGGCAGACCCCTCAATCTCAGGGACATTCATACCCACACCCACCCTCTGTGCTGTGCTTCCGGTTGTTCAGCTCTACTGGTCACCATCATCCAAGCCACGAGACTCTGCCCTGAAACCTCTGTCCTTCTGCTCAGTCCCTGCTCTTTGCACCCCTGGTGCCCTGGGCTTAAACGCTGTGGTCCTTTCTCTACTGTCACTTGTGGTCCCATGGCTTTGCTCTTTCATATCCCAGGCAAACATCTTCTTGAGAGTCCTGGACATCTCATACAATGGCTTTGGAGATCCTGGAGCCTCTGCAGTGGGGGAGGCACTTAGGACCAACAATGTGTTGGAGGAACTCCACATGAGGTGAGGTGCATGGGGTGTGTCCCATGTCACAGTGTGTGAGCCCATTGCCACTTCAGGGACCAGGGGCTCCATGATCTTGTTACTGTTCACCACTTTAATTCCCAAAATGGCCCAGTCTATGATGGGGCTTGGACCAGAACCCAGCTCTGTCCTCTCACTCGAGATCATCATTTATATGCTAGGCTTATAATTCCTACCACACAGGCAGGGGCTAGCAATTACAAACCTATGTAAAAGCCTCTGCAGCAGAGCCAGATGTGGGCTGGGTGCTCTGTGAGTTTTCCTCTCTGTCAGAAGAGAAGCTGACTCCAAGGAGGGGGCACACGTGCGTGCTCTGCTCTGCACGTGGTTGCTGGGGGGCCTGCAGTGTTTTAGCTGCTCTTCCACGCCCAGGCATACTCAGCCCTCAGCAGGTAACCAGAGCAGGGGCCACAGATTCAGAGGGATGGAGAGAGGCAGAGGCCCAACATGGGCCTGCCCATGGACTGCCATGGCTGAGCCCCTCCCAGGGGCTACAGCGTGAGCAGGGCCTGCCTGCTATAGTTCTGCCCTCCTTTCCATCCCATTGCGGGAGCCGAGGCCAGAGAGTTGCATGAGAGATGCTTAAATTTGAGAAGTCAGAGAGAAATAGGACTGGCTTCAGAGACAAAGTGGCCAAGTACTATGCTGAGGCCTGGAATTTGGGTCCAGCAGGAGGAGGAGGAGAAGATGTGGAAAGGGAGCTGGGTGGTTTTCCAAAACATATGTTGTTATGGAGATAGGTGCCAGGGGTCAGCTGGGATAGAACATCTGCTGAGCTCTGAGGGCCAGGGGGCAACAGCTGTGGCCAGGGTTGCGGGGGGACATCTCCAGGCATGTCAGCTGGGTGATCTCCCTGAACACTGGGAGCCTCCAGTGAAGGAGAGTCACTATCCAGCTTTTACTCCCTGACTTGCCCAGGGTCCCTGGGGCATGGGTGGAGACTGGAACTGAAGCCCCACCCAGGGGATGCTCCAGCAGTGCCAGCTGGGACCCTGGGGCAATCTGGGTCTGCACAGCTACTCAGAAGGTAGCACAATGCGCATGTCTTTCTGTTGCAGCAACAACCATATCTCTGTGGTGGGAGCCCTGAGCCTGGGCCTGGGCCTCCGGGTCAACCAGACACTGAGGATTCTTGTTGTGAGTGCTAGACTGATGGGGGAGGCCCCAGCAGACCTGCCTGAGCCTGTCTGTACAGATCCGTCCCCTGCCAACTGTTACCACCCCAGTGGCATCAGGGAACACAGGCCTCCTGGATTCCTCTTGCACCACTACTTCCCCTTGTCACTTACTCACCCCTTTCTGGTCTGGCCCAGGCACTGCTTCAAACTCCTCCCTGCTCCATCCTCCCCTCCCACTGGCATCGCCGCACCTCCCAGCTGTCCTTTCTCCTTCTGAGCCCACCAGAGTGCTGCTCTGCCACTGATGACTGAACACCCTTGCTTCCCCTTCATCTTCTTCTGTGCTCTTCCCCTGGCCTTGCTATAACCTGAGATCAGTGGGGGGAATACTGCTAGTTACTTCTCAGACCTGCCTGAGGCCCAGTGCACACAGCAGGGGTTCCCTCCTCCAGGGTTGCCAGTGGTGAGGGAGCAGCTAAGCAGAAGACAGAGAAGCAAGGGTGCAATGAGGGTAGAGAGGCTCCCTGAGAACCACTGCGCCAACAGCATGTGCTCAGAGGACAGTGCCACAAGTTCCAGGGGGGACACCCAGCCCCACCTGACCCTTAACTCCCTCAGCTGGCAGAGGAGCCCCATGCAGCACTCCCGTCTGGAGTCTGAGGCTCACTCCTCTCCTACCATCCACCCCACCCGACCCGCCCGCCTCCTGCACTGGAGCCCAGACCTCTTTCTTTAGCTCTGGCTCCAAATTTCCACCTGCTGGATGGTCCCTCAGATGTCCCATAGGCACGTGGGATTCTGAGAGTCCAACCTCAACACATTATCTCACTCTAAAGGTTGCCTCTTGGTGTGTGTGGTGGTGGGGGCCAGGGGTTAGAGGAAGGGCTTCTCCTCACCCAGTCAGAAGCTGGGGCCCAGTGCTTATCCCTCCCTCTCTTTCCCACATCTTCCCTCCTTCATGGCAATTCCTGCGGAGTGCCGGGGCTGCCTGCTCCTCTTCACTTTCCTTCCTCAAGTTTTGTTGACCAGCTAGTTTCTCATCACTGGCTCTTCCTTCCCACTTGCTGTCAGTTGATCTTTCTAAACCTGAAATACGCCTCTGCCCCTCCCTGCCTTAAACCCATCCGAGGCTCCCCACCGGATAAATTCAAGCTTAGTATTGAACCACTGGCAGGGGGGCATCAGGATCTGGGCTCTGCTCACCTGTCTTTCCCTCCTGCCTTGAAATTCATCTCTCTCACCCAGGCTCCTTGGAATTCTCCAGACTCTGCTGCGATTTCGCATCTCTCTTTGCTCCTGCTGCTTTTCTTGCTGAAATACCCTGCTCTATCCACCTCACCTATAAAGCTCAGCACAGGTGCTTGATCACCCATCCAACCTGACCTCCCAGGTAGAGTTGGTTCACGCCCACACTCTCTCATTGCACTGATCACACTGTACTTTGTGATGTTTCTTTACCCTCTTCTCCAGTTGGTGGGCTCTTTAAGGGCAGGGGTGTATCTGGGTGTCTGTATCTTCAGCGTGCGGCAGAGCCAGGCACTGGGTGGGCGCTCAGTGTCTACTTCCTCTCTTCCCCGGCCCTGCAGCCTCACTCAGGGCATTCTGCCTGGTGGAGACATTTGTGAGCTGAGACAGTGGGGCTGTCCTGAGGCACATCATTAGAGATAAGGAGTCCCTTATCTTCCCTTTCGTGTTGCTCTCCCTGCCTCCCTGGGACCAGCTTTTCTCAGCTTTGTGTGCCTGTGTGTTTCGTAGGTATCCAGGAACCCCATGAGGAGTGAAGGCTGCCTGGGTGTCCTCAAGTCTGTCCGGGGTAATCCAGTGTCTCCCCTGGAACTGCTGGATTTCTCTGTAAGAACTTTTCATAAACCTCACCTCTGAGCCTCCCCACAGCCCTGAGGTGTATTTAGAGGGAGAAAGTGGGGCTTAGAAGAATAGAGAGGCCTGCGCACGTACATGGCACGGCCCAGTCTGAGTTCCACCCCAGGCCACTCTGGCTCCACTCCCACTCCTAACTGGGGGTACCACCATGGTCTCCCCTTGGAGCCCTGCCTGGGCTCTTCATTGGCTGAGAGAGAATTAGTGACTCAGGGGGACAATGCTCACTGTTCACTGATACCTGGATTGGCAGATTCAGCACCTGTGAGGTGCCCCCTTGCCCACCCAGCCTGTACAGCCTGCAAGTGAATCACGGTGCTGGAAGATTCACTCGTGTGGCTGTGAGGGAAATCAGGACTTCTCTTCGTTCAACTTTGCCTTTTAAATGTAAAAACAAATGTCACCCTTTTCTAAGGCAGTTAACATTAAGGAGAGAATCCCCAAATATGAATTAGTAACAAAAGCCTAGTCACAAGTCACTGCTTGTTCTACCCTGATTTATGTCCACCCGGACTTGAGCCAGAGTCTTGCCAGAGACATGTGTTTGTAGTCCCAGTCCTTCCAGATCGGACAACTGGTTTCCAACATCCTTGTTCTTTCTGTCCACCTGCCTGACCTCTATGGCTCCAAAGCCAAAGCCATGACCGTGTTCCCTCTGCTCTGAGAATTCCTCTTACGACTGGATTCTATCACTCTAGAAAAAAATGGAATAATACATGAAATTGTCCTGACAAAATATATATATACTTGTTTGATACAATGTATGGTTATTAGCAGAAGCTTTTAGTATAATGGAAATACCACAGGATGTGGAGTCAGACCGGCCTGGAACCAAGTGCTGAGCAAGGCTTATGGGGTCTTGGATTCTGCATTAGAGACCAACACTAATCTAGATGCGGTCTTCTATTTTCCTTTTCCTTAACTGTGACCATTAGTCTGATCGGACTCGGATTTCACCCTCAGCTTTTTTTTCTTTTGTATAAACCAGAGTCTAATTTTTTTGAAGTTTTTATTTACTTATTTTTAGAGAGGGAAGGGAGGGCGAAAGAGAGAGAGAGAGAGAGAGAGAGAGAGAGAGAGAGAGAAACATCAATGTGCGGTTGCTGGGGGTCATGGCCTGCAACCCAGCATGTGCCCTGACTGGGAATCGAACCTGCGATGCTTTAGTTTGCAGCACGTACTCAACCCACTGAGCTATGCCAGCCAGGGCTCACCCTCAGCTTTAAAAGAAATATTTCTGCATCCTTACAGTTCTCACAAAACTCTTCCCAGAACTCAGTCTTATCTTCATATGCAAGGGGGCTAACACCGCCCACCCAGGGCCACTGTGCAGGCAGGATGAGATGACAGACCCCATGGACAGGCCTGCACAGAGAAAACTCCACTGGTGCCCGTTCTCCTCTCCCCAGCCCCTTTGTTCTTTTTTTAAATTGAGAAACAACATTTATGCTGAAAAGTGCACACAGATTAGGGGCAGAGCTTGGTGAATTTTCACGAACAGGACACACATACATGAGCAGCCCCCAGATCAGGAAATAGAGCAGGCCCCTAGAAGCCTCCCTGGAGCAGCTTCTTTTCTTGGTTTTAATAGCTGGGGAGGAATGACATTGTCACCCACAGGAGAGAGGCTGTCCTAAGGAGCTTCTTTAAGAACTTGTGTGTGTAAGTTCTCAGAAAATGATCATTGGCTTCTCCTCAGGATATCCAGGTGAACAAAGAGTTTGACGACCTCGCTAGCTCAGTGAAGGTAATTTTCCCAGAGCTCTGCATAAAGACGGATGCTGGCAGAGTGGAGTACAGAAAAGAGTTGCTGGCAGTCTTTGGACCAGCGTCTGCCCCTAAATGACAGTGGAGTGTGACCTCGCGATGCCTTCTTACCACTTGAGTTTACACTGAGTCCCCATGTAAACCAGCTGGTGAGTCCTATGGAACTGACCTTCACAGTGACTCGGACACCTGTACCCTCCTCTCCATCCCTGACCACTGAAGTACTCTGGGTCTTCCTCTGCACTCACTCCTTCATGGAACACGAAGTTGTACTATGTGCTGCATACTGAGCTGGGCGCAGGGCTAAAGATGCCCAAACAGGTTCCTGCTCTGGTGACTAGTTCAGGAGACAATTAAAATACAAGGTTCTGTGCAACTGGCTCTCAACTGGCCATGACGCAAACTGTTACAACTTGTTTGGAAGGCAGCTTATCATTAGGCACCGAGAGCCTTGAAACTGCCTGTGTCCATCGATCCTACGATCCAACTCATCTGTTCTGCAGAAATAATGCTATTTGTAATAATGGAAATTGGAAATCATTTAAGTGCCAAATACAAGGGGATTGGTTACTAAGATCTGGAATTCTGCAAACATTGAGAACCAAGTATTCAAAGTACAGTGAGCAATTTGTGAAATGACATACAATTAATGTTAGGTGAGAAAATCAGTATAGAAAAACCACATGGTTTGGCAATTCTGGCCAAAGGTTAAACATGGAGTTACCATATGACCTGGAAAATCCACTCCTAGAGAAATAAAAACATAGGTCCACATAAAAACTTGTATACACATGTTCATAGCAGCATATTAATAATATCCACAAAGTGAGAATCCTCACCAACTGATGGATAAATAAAATGTGGTATGCCCATATAATAGTATATTATTTGGCAATAAAAAGGAGTGAAATTTGGAGTAATAAAAATGTTCTAAAATTGATTATGGTAATAGTTGCACAATTATATGAATATACTAAAAGTAATTGAATTGTATGCCTTAAATATGTGAATTGTATGGTATGTGAATTGTATCTCAATAAAGGTGTTAGAAGAAAAAAGGAATGAAGTACCGGTACTTGTTGCAACACAGACAATTTGGGAAAGCATCAGGTATGCAATATACAAGAAGTCAGTCACAAAAGACCACATATTGTATGAGTCAGGTCATGTGAAATGTTTAGAAGAGGCAGACCTACAGGGATAGAAAGTAGAAGTTGCCTAGGGCTGGGGAAATAGGATGGATTGGGAGTTGACAGGTAGAGGGAATGGATTTCACTTTGGGGATGATCAAAATGTTCTCAAAGTGATTGTGATGGTTGCATAACTCTGCCAATATATAAAAACCGCTTAATTGCGTACCACTTTAAATGGGCGAAATGTATGGCATGTGAACTATATCTCAAGAAAGCTGTTACCCCCAAAAAACAATCATATTATTTGACCCAAATTGTGTTTAAAAAAAGGAAAAGACCCCCCTCCCAAAATGACCCTGTGAGTTTATGAATTTTAATTTTATTCATATTTTCCAGCATTTCCACATTTTCTATTCTAAGTATGTGTTACTTCCCTAATCAGAAAAATAAATACTACTTAAAAACAAGGCCCTGGCTGGTGTAGCTCAGTGTATTGAGCATGGGCTGCGAACCAAAGTATCGCAGGTTCGATTCCCAGCCAGGGTACCTGCCTGGGTTGCAGACCATAACCCCCAGCAACCCCACATTGATGTTTCTCTCTCTCTCCCCACCTCCTTTCCCTCTCTAAAAAATAAATAAAAAAAAATACACAACATGGTACAATTCAGTTGTGTGCATGGCATGGTGGAGTCCTAAGAGGGTGCTACAGACTGAATTGTGCCCCCAATTCATATCTCAAAGCCTTAACACCTAATGTGACTGTATTTGGAAGTAATTAAGGTTAAATGAAGTCTTAGGGGTGAGGCTGTAATCCAACAGGATTAGCGTCCTTATAAGAGGCATCAGAAAGCTGCTTCTCTCCCCACCCTCTTATGTGAAGACAAAGCAAGACTCTGCAAGTCAGAAAGCAAGCCCGCACCAGAAATCAATCCTCCCCACCCTCCCAGACCTTGATCTGGGATTTCTAGCCTCCAGAACTGCGAGAAAGTAATTTCTGTTTCTTAAGCCACTCTTTCTGTGGTATTTTGTTATGGCAGCCCAAGATGAGTAAGACAGAAATATTCACTGTAGCGGGGAGAATAGGCAGGGAGGGTTTCTCCTGGTTTCCCCAGTTCTCTGATGACCCCGCCCCCTTCATCTCCCTCCTCCCTATTTCCAGTGCCACCTTTCCATGGGCAGACCTGATGGCACGTCCAGAGGCTCTCCAAGTCCTTCAGCTAAGTTCCAACTCCTCTATATGGCATGTCCCATGTCAGGGGGCGGGTTCCCCACTCTCCTCTACGTAGAAGGTAAGGGTCTGGCTGGAACGCCGGAACAGAGCGCTGCTTTACGATGATGAGATGGGAGTAAGCCTGGATCCCTCCGCCCTCACTTTTCCCGGAAGTGAACATACATTGGACCCTAAAGAAAATTCCGTTGATCTTTACGGAATGGAAGAAACAAAGTGATTGTTCCAAAGTCCTCCAAAATGGACACTGTGCCCCAACCTATCTCCCTTGTCCCAAGACACCAATTTCTCATTAAAGAAGTAATCAAATTCTGCCCGTTTCCAGGGTGCCAGCTGGGAAAGGCCTTTCTGCAATGGAAAGGGATGGAAAAGAGCAAGGGGACAGACTTTGGGTAGATGTTGGTTACACCTCTGGGAATTGACCGTGTTTGCAAAGACCTGAAAAAGAAGCAGAAACGCGAAGACCTGGCAGGGCCAGGCAAGGGTATGCTTGGCAGGGGAATGACAAAACAAGGTGGACATCAAGTCATTTGCATGCCGCTGGAGACTTACATGCATAGTGATGTTCTGTGACCCAGCCAGGGGGGCGCCAAAGCTGCTTCAATCTCAAGAAGGGGAACGACCCGGAACACCTGGATCTGGGGTCGGCCCTCCTCGACCCCACAGCCTTCCCGCCAAACTCACACCCAATCAGAAAGTGCCACACTCAATGAGTTGAGCAACAGCCAATCAGAAGCTGGGTTCTAGTTCGGCCTGCCCCACAGAGCTCCGGACCAATGGCCGCCTGGGCATCGGGAGGCCTTAAGGGGCAGCGTGCGCATTGCAGGGGGTCAGCAGTTGGGCGCGCGGCGGCGGCAGGTCGGTTGAGGTGTGGTAGCAGAGCCCAGCGGCGGCGGAGTTCACCATGGTAAGGCCCTGAGTCTGGGTGGCGGCGCGGTAGGCCCTGCGGGCATTGGAAGGACCTCAGAAGCCCACAAGCCGCCAGCGCCCAGGCAGGAGAGTAGTCGAAGCCCGCCACGTGAGGCGGCAGATGAAAAGATCCGGGGTGCTGCGGAAGTGAGCATTGGCGACTATAGGGGGGCAGGGGAGAGCAAGCGAAGCGCCATCCCGGTGGCACCACGAGGCCTGCTGTCTTGTTCTGAGTTTGTGCACCCAAAAAACATTGGTGACCTCACCCCAGCGTGGGAGTGGCAGGGGCAGGCAGCTCCCCAGAAACTGGGCTGTAATGAGCCAGGGCAGGAGCTTGGTTGTTGGATAGCTCTAACTCCACCTCTCAGGAGGACAAACTGTACGTAGTGTTGGATTCCTGAAGACCGCAGGGCAGTACTCAAACTTTTGGTCTCAGGACCTCCCTACGCTTGTCCCATTAGAAATTACAACTGAGAACTGTGAAAATATTCACTTTAAAGCAACACGTTAACATAAGTAACAAATATCCAAGTTTGAACAGCCAGTTTGTCGTTTCTTTCAAGTACAAATAGCATTCCATGAAAAAAGCAGCTGATTCACAGTTGGTAACTCAAATACACATGTGCTTTTTCTCAAGAGAGCTGTATTTCAGCCTGTGAGCAAGAACTTTATGTGCACTTTCCCATTTTGTCATAGTGCGCAGGGTAGAGGTTTAATAACATGAATACATTTTGCTTCATCAAGGACATTCTTACATGAAAATGGCCTTTTCCCCCTTTTTACTCTGAGTGCATAAGGTTGAGGAAACACTGGTACTGTTTGATGCCAGTACCCTGATTTGTGTTCAGGGGCCAACAGTTTTACCCATTTTCATATTCTTGTTGTATGACATAGTTCCCTACTTATTCAGAAGCTTCAGCTTCCTGCCACCAAATATGCAAACACACCTTTCTGGTCTCCTTCCTTCCTTCACATTAAAATAAACTCTAGTTCCTCTTTGTTAATGATCTGTTGCTGCATTATGTGAATCTTTGATGTCCTGGTGACTGAGATTTGATACTTGTATAACAGAAAAAAGGCCTTTAAGTTCTTACTATTATACATTAGAATTTAGGGTGGGTGAGACACCTCAAATTTCATTTGATCTATGTATTTGTAAGGATGATGTGTCTAACATTCATTAAGTGATTAATGACTGTACAGTTAGGTTCCCAGCAGGAAAAAGATGGTACATTCAAAATAGGTACTTTAAGAAGAATCTTTTAAAAAGGTAGTGCATTGGCCCTGGCTGGTATGGCTCAGTGGACTGAGTGCTGGCCTGAGAACCAAAAGGTTGCAGGTTAGATTCCTGGTCTGGGGCACATGTCTGGGTTGCAGGCGAGGTCCCCCATAGGGGGTTGTACAAGAGGCATGTGTTCACAACCGAGGCATGTGCCCTGACTGGGAATCGAACCGGCGACCCTTTTGTTCACAGGCCAGCATTCAATCCACTGAGCCATACCAGCCAGGGAGATAACCTAGTTTTTGTATAGTAGAAAACACTTAGGTTCTGGCACTTAGCTAGGGTGATGTAAAGCACCTCAGTATCCAACAGGGATAAGTAGGTCACATAAGCCTCATTGAAAATAAGGTTTGAGCCCTGGCTGGTGTGACTTAGTGGTTGTAGTGCCCACCTTCAAACCAAAAGGTCACCCATTTATTTCTCAGTCAAGGCATGTGCCTGGGTTGCGGGTCCCCAATTAGAGGCCGGTTGGGGACGTGCTACAGGCAACTGATCAATGTTTCTCCCTCCCTTGTTCCTCTCTCTAG